CACATGCCGCCCAGTTCCCAGTCTAAAGAAAATAGAGAGAGAGAGAGAGAGAGAGAGAGAGAGAAATGGGGTTAAGATCAACTCGACACAAACTAGGTCATTTCAGGACTAACACAAGGTTCAATTTTTTATTTCAATAATTCGCTTGTGCATAGGGGTCTTTAGAAGTGGGAGGAAACCGGAGGACCCGGAGAATACCCATGAAGTTGGACAGACTACCCTACTCCTTGTCACGTACAACCGGGGAATCGAAACCAGGTCAGTTGACTCAATGACAGACCTTCTGATAGAGTGTGCACGTGCTAACCATTCGGCCATCCACCCCCACCGCCTAAAGAAAATAGACGGATGGGAATTATTTGTTGAATAAATTAATGAGATGATAAAATTACCTGTCTGTAGTCCTGAAACTGACTGTGATATAAACTTAACGTCTCCTTAAAATCACGGGGATAAACCACGGAATATTCTCCAGACCAAACCTTCGTTACCAGATGTTTAAAACGACCAAGTATGGTGTCATTTTGATCCGCATCCAAGATCAGATCATCCAGGCAGTATTTTATTAGTTGATCTGATGCCAGTAGACTCTGTAGTCCAGAGTTCATAAAACATGTATTACCCAGGTTGTATAGTCCGGAACTTCCAGGTGTGGCTGACGCGTCTAGAATTAAACATACATTATTTTAAAAACAATCAAAAATAACAGAGAGAGAGAGGAGAGAGAGAGGGAGGGAGAGAGAGAGGGGGAGGGAGAGAGAGAGAGGGAGAGAGAGGGGGAGGGAGAGAGAGAGAGAAGGGGAGAGAGAGAGGGAGAGAGAGAGGAGGTGAGAGAGAGAGAGAGAGAGAGAGAGAGAGAGAGAGAGAGAGAGAGAGAGAGAGAGAGAGAGAGAGGGGGGAGAGAGAGAGGGAGGGAGAGAGAGAGAGAAGGGGAGAGAGAGAGGGAGAGAGAGAGGAGGTGAGAGAGAGAGAGAGGGGAGAGAGAGAGAGAGAGAGAGAGAGAGAGAGAGAGAGAGAGAGGGGGAGAAGGGAGAGAGAGAGGAGGTGAGAGAGATAGGAGAGAGAGAGAGGGAGGGAGAGAGAGAGAGAGGGGGTGGGAGAGGGAGAGAGAGAGAGAGAGGGGGGAGAGAGGGGGAGAGAGAGAGGGGGGAGAGAGGGGGAGAGAGAGAGAGGGGGAGAGAGAGAGAGAGAGAGAGAGGGGGGAGAGAGAGAGAGGAGGAGAGAAAGAGAGCTAGGGTTTAAGGTCCACAAGACACAAACCAGGTCATTTTGGGACTAACATATTGTTTCCATTTTATTTCAGTAATTTGCTTACACGTAGGGGTCTTTATCAATGGGAGGAAACCCCTGAGGATCTGGAGAAAACCCATTCATGTACAAGCAGGGTTAGACAAGGTGTAGAGATAAATTCAAGTACAGAAATAAAGATAACAAACCTTTTATATCTTTACAATAATTAACGTCTGTTCCATCTGTCTTGTAAACAACTTGAAGTGGCTCCGAGAATTTACATGTCACTGAGGAAATAAAACAAGTATATTTATACATCACAAATATCACTTGAATTAACAACAAATTCTACAACGCTGACACAGTAATGCAGTCCTTCACATTTACGAAATGGTGCAGGAGCCATAAAAAAAAACTCCCGCCAATTAAAAATTGAGAAAAAGGTTCCCGTAAAAAAAAAACCCTCTTTTTAATTACAATGCAAGAATAATTCTACATTTTTTTTAAATTATGAAGAGCCAAATTGTATTGCTAGAGTAATTCTACGTTATATTTATTGTATTGCTAGAGTAATTCTACGTTATATTTATTGTATTGCTAGAGTAATTCTACGTTATATTTATTGTATTGCTAGAGTAATTCTACGTTATATTTATTGTATTGCTAGAGTAATTCTACGTTATATTGTATTGCTAGAGTAATTCTACGTTATATTGTATTGCTAGAGTAATTCTACGTTATATTTATATTGCTAGAGTAATTCTACGTTATATTTATATACTTTAGTTTTGTCTCATATTCTCTTTGTTATATCATTTATATGTTCCACGAATTTTCATCAGTTTGATCAATTTGTCAGCATGCTTAGCGCACAATTTGTCAGCATGCTTAGCGCACAATTTGTCAGCGTGCTTAGCGCACAATTTGTCAGCGTGCTTAGCGCACAATTTGTCAGCGTGCTTAGCGCACAATTTGTCAGCGTGCTTAGCGCACAATTTGCAATAAGTCTAAAGACCAAACCAATTTTACAAATCCATTTTTATCTCCCTTTGTGGCTATTTGGCCTCCAGTAATTTCAATTTTAAAATGTCGCATATTTGACTGTTTTGACCATCTCCAGACATATTTATAACGATAATCAATGCATTGCCAATGAGACAAGTGGTACATGAAAACATTTTAAACAACGTAATGTTATTATTCAACGTACGTCATTCTGTCATTCCGGCGGATGTTCTCCATCAACATCCTGTGAGATATTAGGGTGTCAAGTAACACCATATTCTATTGGCTGATGTTAGACTGCTATCCAATTAAAACGAGCCTTACATTAGCATTCAATATGTTTGGTCAATAATTATGGCAGCCCTAGTTTACCATGGAAACGCTCATCACTTGAAGGAGGAGGTCACTATGCTCAAACATATGCAGTTTTAAAAATAAACAAAAACTGAAAGTACAGTAGTTTATGAATCTCAATGTTTAGGAGAGCGATTTAGCTTAATTAGCAGGCGTATTTAATGACTCCCCCGAAGATAAGTGGAGGTAGGTCGGGAGGCGCAAGAGCGAAAGCGCTCCTTAAATGTGAAGGACTGGTAATGGCCTAAATATATTAATTACTGGTATTTCAACATTGGGATCAGAATGATAAACTTGTCAGGTCGAGTACTGCATGAGAAATATTCATTTTAAACCTGTCCAGTAATAGCACTTACTGGTAGGGTTAGGGTAACACTTACCGGTAGGAGCATCTGTCAATGTTGTGGATAATTTACTTTTAGTTAAATCACATTTATTAGATGTTGAGGCTTCAGCTAGAATAATTATAATATAAAAACATTTTTACAATAGATCACAATTAATATCAAAACATTTTAATTGTTATCCATAAATAGTGTGTTATTTGTTCTAATCACTAAATGTCATTCAAATTGTCAATTATTATACAATGAATATAAACTGAATCTGTACCACACAGGAGATTAAATAACAGCTTGAGAATCTATTTCGTTTACTAATATTACGCTGTATAACAGAGTCTGAACCTCTTAACAAAATCGGTGTCTAATATGTAGGCCCTACTACACAGTCCGAAGAGGCTCGGGAGGTGTTGAATACTTAGGCCTTACCAGACAAAAGCAAGAGGCCCGGGAGATGTCTAATGGTTAGGACTCACGGGACAGTTGGAAGAGGCCCGGGAGATGTCTAATGGTTAGGCCTCACGTAAACAGTAGTAAGAGGCCCGGGAGATGTCAAATGGTTAGGTCTCCCCGCCAGTAGTAAGAGAAATTTTATGAAACTTTTCTCACCTGGTTCATCTTCATTAAATGAAGCTTGGAAAGAAAGAGAGAGAGGAGGAGAATCATCCACCGAGGTGTCAACAGGAGGACTCATTTCTCCTTCAGCCATCCCTCGATCCAGATTATAAAGAGACCACCCTGTATTCGGGATAAATTTTCTTCATACATGTATCTGAAAGAAACAAAAAACTTGCATGTATCTAAAATAATAATATTGTGTATCTAAATTAAAAAAGGCAAGTATTTTACACTGAAGCTAATTATTTCATACAAGTAAACCTTGTGTTTTATTCCCAATGAGATGGGTAAGGCTGTATATAGGAAATGAAATGAACTGGAGTTAACGTCCTACTGTTCTGCTCTGAAATGGGCTAATGAAGACGGGCATAAGCCATGCAGTGTGCTAGGAGGGTAATTTTGCCCGGGCAGTGGTGCTACGGCCTTCTCTTAGTCTTATATCGAATTCCAACTTCCAAGGGATCTTTTACGTGCACGCCAATGTGTATACAGGACCTCGTTTTTTGTCTCATCCGAACGACTAGGCAGCTGTCCTTGTCAGACCTTCCGTTCTGCATCACTGACAAGGGGGAACCACGCCGGAAAATCTGGATGAACTTTCTTGGCCAAATGCAGGGATCGAACGCCCGACCTCCAGGCTAGCGAGCCAGCGTCTTACCCACTTAGCCACCGTGACCCCCTGTATATAGGAGGGTAGGCCTATATATCAGAGAGGAGGGGAGGGTGGGGGAAACCACCAGCACAATTTAGTTTTGATTGGCTATCCCTACTATGATTATGAATGGTTAGATCTATTTCATATAGCCAGCTTCAAGTTTGGTCAAAGGTCACGAGATGTAAACAGGGCTAGCACTAATCCCAACCGGGCCTAACCCTGGGTCTAGCCCTAACGCTTACATAACTTACAATCTCGCCAACAATCACCTGCCTTAGCTTTATTTACATCTCAGCTACCTTGACGAATTATTGAGTTGGCCTTAACAAATAGATCTAGCCGATACCTTGACGAATTATTGAGTTGGCCTTAACAAATAGATCTAGCCGAATATGAAGCTGACTAAAATCCACAAGGGCGTCACTCACAACAAGTCAACAAGGAAATGGGAACCAAAATCTAACATCGGTCGGGTAAATATCCTGTTTCACTGCAAGCAAGGCTGGCCCTGCAGTTTCTGTCAACATAACAAATTTAGAAAGAATAGGCTGAGAAAATTGAATACAGATACAAATATATTTATGCATAACAAAACTAACTTATATTATATATCTAACGGAATAACAGAATAAATGATAAATATTACCATCAAATTTTCTTTCATATCTTTTCACTCAACACAAGGCAGACATTTTCACGCATGCTCACCAGACCGTATAGGTTTATTTCCTGGACGGAAGGTGAAGGTCTATCGAAAACTTACCACGAAAGTTCATTTCCGGTGTAGGTCACACTGTCAGAGAAAAGTGCAAAACAAGAAGGGCGCTGAAAACCATTTCATTTGCTTGGCCGCGACAATCACTGATAAGGATGACATTGATGCGGCTTAATGAGCTAGAAATATTAACTTTTTTCCTGCGACAAATTAAATTCTAAAACATTTTTTGTATATATTGGAAAAATAAATAAAGGCGTTTGACGTATTTGTAGGTAAAAATTATTTCCTATTTAGTGTAAATGGGTATTAAAATGACTTAAATGCGGCATTCTCTCCGAAGCAGTTATGTCTTATGTAAACAATGCACGCGTCATTCAGCCAATGATTCACACCGCGTGCTGTGACAGCACGTGTTAAGGCAGTCATCTATGACAGAGGTATTATACGATACTCGTAATTCTCTGTGAAACAGATTGCATGGACACGTGTTTAATTTTGGAAAGCGGAAAATCTTAAAAATACTAGTACAGTTCAAGACAGTGCGGAGTAACTCATTACTGTATTAGTTAGTAGATTTTGCATCATGAATTCATTTCAAAAGACATTTATTATTTGATTGATTGAGTTATGAAGTGACGCCATGGCATCATATCAATCTCAATGGCATTCATTATTATTTCGTTGGTATCCGTATTCGAGTTACGGAATGGGGGGCATGGTATTCATTGGTATTGGATTGGTGACCATTGGTGTAACCAAAGTTTTGAAAATTCACTTGCTAGTTGCAGATAGTTAGTAGTATGGCTCTGAACGTAGGTCTCATTACACTCAGGGACTGTCCTATTCCTTGTCGATAATCTTAATGGCTTCCCAGTCAATTTTACTGGGCAACTTTTTACTGCAAAACGATCGCGTGTCCGTCCCTGTGAACGCCTGAACATCTTAGTGAGAAAATAAGACCTTGCTTACCTCGCTAGAACCAGTATGAGCCACACAACATCCTGTTAAAAAATACGTCTCCGTCTTCTAACCGACTTGGCGGACTTCATTGAAAGGGTAACGCACAAATTTACGTCTTCGGCCATATAAGATGAAGCGAAATTTAGGTAAGCCTGGGAGAAAACAATTTTTCCCCCCAGACTTACCTAAATTTCGTTTCATCTTATATGACCGAGTTCAAAAATTTGTGCGTTACCTTTCAATGAAGTCTGCCAAGTTGAAATAAAATAGAACCTTGAGTTAGTCTCGAAGTGACCTAGTTTGTGTCGAGTGGAATTAAAACACAATTTCTCTTCTTATATTAGGATTTTCCAGCGTGGTTTCTATTCCCCCTTATCAAAGATGTAGGATAGAAGGGCTTGACAAGGAACAGATACGACAGAATATCCTGTGTACATGCTGGTGTGGTAATGCCGCTGTCTTGAGCAAAATTTCCATTTTTGTACGCTGCATGGCATATGCTCGTCTTTAGAAAAGCTGGTTTATGCAAAAAAATGTCTTCAAAAATGTCTTTGATTTATTTTGCAGATGAAATAAAATGGATGTTTTACGTCCACCAGTTGTTTGGATTGGTGATCGATGTTACCGTAAAACTGCTGTCGAGGGGACGGAAGGCGGGGATCCAGAATTTGATGAAGAAAATGAATACAATGGTAAATATCAGATGACTAGCAGAATAAAACTAATCAGATGGCATCCCAAAAATAAAATGGAATAATTGAGTTTAATGTCCTACTGTCCTCTTGGACAGAGGATTACGAAAGTCTTCTAATAAGAGATGACTGCCTTCAACACAGGACGTCACATCACGCGGCGTCGATCATTGGCTCTATATCGAGTGCATTGTTTACATAAGACGTTACTAGTTCGGGCAGAATGCTGTCTTTCACTCATTTTAATACCCATTTACACTGAAATAGCAAATAATTTTTACCTACAAATACTTAACACCTTTATTATTTTTCTAATACATAAAAAAAAAATGTTTTAAAATTTAATTTGTCGGAGGAAAAAGTTAATATTTCTGACTTATTAAGTCGCATCGATGTCATCCGAATATTCACTGCTGATCATTGTGATGGCATCCCTGGTGTTTTATAATGATCAGACTCATCTCCAACAACTGACGTGACTTCACAATCTTTGCCTAGCAACCATCACTGTATTCTGGGTTATCATTTAATCTTGTGTATTGAGCACTAATTTCTTTCACATTCATTCAATATCAAATCTTTGTTTAAAAATTGTATAAAGTCACCCAAAATCATCTAATTTGTACTCCTGTCCAGTTTAAAGCAGACCATTCAATTTTGATGAGTGTCAAATTTACAAGCATTTTATTACTCGATCACTGTTAAAAAATAACCCAATTTATTATTGATGTATAATGATTAATTTTTGAACAGTGGTCAAGAAATTAAATATTTGTACAGTGGACTGTGTCACTTCGGACATCTGAATACTACGACATTCTGTCAAATCTGTATACATGTATATTGGACACTCATTATCAAAATTAATCAGTCAGTTTTAAACTGGACACAAGATTAAATGATTCCCGGGTTACAGTGTATGATCAAAGCAAACTTCAGAACTTTAAATCCTCACAATGGTTGTCCACAAGCCATGAGAGAGAGAGAGAAATGGGGTTTAAACGTCCACTCGACACCAACTAGGTCATTTCGGGACTAACATATGGTTTAATTTTATTTACATAATTCGCTTGCACGTAGGGGTCTTTAGCAGTGGGAGGAAACAGGAGGACCCGGAGAAAACCCACGAGGTTGGACAGGCGACCCTACTCCTTGCCACGTACAACCGGGGATTCGAAACCACGTCAGTCGACTCAATGACAGACTTTATGATACAGCGCGCGCACGCTAACCATTCAGCCATCCAACCCCCCCACAAGCCATGATGAAAGTAAAGAGAGAAATCTAAACCTTGAGCTGCCTATTAAGTTTGTTCTATCTTCACTCAAATTTGCATCACAGCTGTCACTGTAACCCAAGTATTGTTTAATCTTGTGTATCTAGCACTAATTTCTTTCACATTCGTTTAATATCAAATCTTTGTTTCAAAATTCGTAAAAATTGTTTAAAATCACCAAAAATCATCTAATTTGTACATGTGTCCAGTTTAAAGTTGACTGATTAATTTTGATAATGAGTGTCCAATTTACAAGTATTTAATTTCCTGATACTGTTCAAAAATTAATCATTATACATCATTAATCAATTGGGTTGTTTATTTTTTTAACAATAATTGAGAAATTAAACACTTGTAAATTGGACACTCATTATCAAAATTGAATGGTCATCTTTAAACTGGACAGAAGTACAAATTAAACGATTTATGGTGATTTTAAACAGTTTTTACAAATTTTTAAACAAAGATTTGATATTAAACAAATGTGAAAGAAATTAGTGCTAGATACACAAGATTAAATGATACCTGGGTTACAGTGTGTTGTGTTTTTGTCCCCCGCCTTTCGAAGAAAGCAGGGGACTATTAAAATGGGTTCGTCCGTCTGTCTGTCCGTCTGTCTGTCCGTCACACTTTTTGGGACACAATAACTCTCTTCCTAATTGAGCTATAATGTTCAAACTTGGTGTATGTGTTTATTAGGTCAATGCCTTGATGGAGTTCGAAGATGAGCATTTTCCGCTTAGGGTAAGCAGAGATAAGCAATTTGATTGGTTGATGCTTTGGGACACGATAACTTTAGTTCTAATTGAGTGAGAGTGATGAAACTTGGTGTATAGTTTCATTACATCAATACCTTGACTAAGTTCGATAATGAGCATTTTCTGCTCAGGGTAAGCAGAGCGATAAGCAGTTTGATTGGTCGAGACATTGGAACACAATAACTCTCATTCTAATTGAGTTAGAATGTTCACACTTGGCATAGGTGTCTATAAGGTGAATGCCTTGATGGAGTTCGAAGATAAGAGTTTTCGGCTTAGGGTAAGCAGAGATAAGCAATTTGATTGGTTAATATACATGAGACACAATAACTTTAATTAAGTGAGAGTGAGGACACTTGGAGTATAGCTTTATTACATCCATACCTTGACTAACTTTGATTATGAATATTTTCTGCTGAGGGTAAGCAGAGCGATAAGCAATTTGATTGATCGAAACTTTGGAACACAATAACTCGCCTTCTAATTGAGGTAGAATGCTTAAACTTGATGTAGGTGTTCATTAGGTGAATGCCTTGGTGGAGTTCTATGATGGAGATTGTCTGCTTACGGTAAGCAGAAATAAGCAATCTGATTGGTTGATGCTTTGAGGCACGATAACTTTGGTTATATAATGAAGTGAGAGCGATTGAACTCCGAATATGGATTCATTATATCATTACCTTGACTAATTTTGATGATGAGAATTTTCTGCTTAGGCTAATGAGCGATAAGCAATTTGATTGGTCAAGACTTTGGAACATAACAACTCTGCTTTTAATTGAGGTTGAATGTTTAAACTTGATGTAGCTGTTCATTAGGTGAAGTCTTGACTGATTTCAATGATTAACATTTCGTGCTGAAGCTAAGCAGAGCTAATCAATTTCATTGGTCAATGCTTTGGGACAAGATAATCTTGATTCTATCTGATAGAGAGTGATGAAACTTAGTGTATAGTTTGATTGCTTGATAATTTTGAAAAAAAAATAAATGTGCGATTAATTAATGTGTGTCATCTATTTATTTTGGGATTTCGGCGGGGGACATCAGCCTCACTGTTGGCTTGTTTTCTTTGAGATACTTTTCCCTAATGTTTAATCCTATCTGTCTCTACTTGGGTATCGGTCGGACAGTGATAGTATGAGATCAAGGGTTAGGGTATCGGTTGGACAGTGATAGTGTTAGATCAATATGAGAATTCTGTATTTAGCAGAAAAAAAACCTCTGAGCAGTACAAGGTATTTGTTCCTTCAAATGACCATGTTGATAAAGAACCCCATTTTATTTGGACATGCATCAACGATGAGAGGTTTATATTGTATTTCATCATGTGGGCTACTTTTACTTTAATACAAATTATACATGTATTTGTAAATGTAGTCTACTTTCACTTTAAAATGAATTCTATTTATAGATATGGATGAAGGAGGATGGAATGATGAAGTCTGTGATCCATTTACAAAGTTAGAAGAAACTGATTCAGGGTATCGGGTTTTATTAAGTATACCCAGTCCATATTTTAAATTTATTATTGGTAAAAAGGGGGAGATGAAGAATCGTTTAGAGAAGGAGACGAAAACACAGATAAAAATACCCAAACAAGGGCAGGAGGGAGATATAGGTACGATATTATATTTAAATGGCACTTCCTCTGATCTGGGGTCAAAATGATACTGTCCATCTCATTTCATGTGTTAATTTGTTTTCTTGTATGTTAATCTGTTTTTTTAAAATAGAGATGTGACGTCATCCTTTGATGTCGGCGTACAATGGTACAGGAAAATTGCGATTCGTACATGTATTTTAAGTCGTTTAATGGTCACAAGTTTAAGACATTGCGTAATATATTGTAAAAACACTTGAGCTATGGCCCTCTTGTTGTTACAATATATTACTTAATGTCTCGCTGTCGACCATTAAACAATACATATAGGAGAAGCCACTGGCGCTTGACTTGAGAAAGTTCTGGAAACTAGGACAAGATATAGGTACAGGATAAGATCATACTTCCTCTTATCTGGGTCAAAAATGATATTGTCAACTTTACTTTGTGTTGGAGGCCATAGTAGCTCAGTTTGTAAGGTGCTGGAGGACTCAAGAAAGTTATTCAGAATTTTCTAACGTGGTATACCCTTGTCAGTGCTGCAAAAGTGAGGGCCTGACATCAGAGTGTCTATTCGTTTGTATGGGCCCCCCCCCCCCAAAAAAAGAATGAATTCCTGGCTACACAAAAGAACCCTTGAAAAGTACAGTAGAATCTGTATGCGCAGCCACTCCTATTCAGCGACATCTCCTTGTAAGCGGTCACGATAAATTCCCCCCGTAGAAATTCTGTTGTTTCATCTCTTTATTCAACGGTCACTCCTCTAACCCGGCCAGCGGTCACTATTTTACTAATAAATTCAACAAAACATCGCCCATTCAACGGCCATTGTTGAATGATACCATCTTGTCGTTCTTTGTAACACCCCCGCTAATCCCGTGAGTAGTAGTTAATTAACTGGACCCCCACTGATCAGGTAAAAAGAAATGTAAACATAACAATCAACCCAGGATTATCTGTTAATTAATCTTTTGTTTTATTAAACGACTAACCTGATCATTGTTTTCACGCGTAACGACACATTATTTGATACTGATTGAATAAAATAAAAGTACCGAGTTTTGTCACGATCATCTAGTATCTCTCTTAGCGCCTCCTATAATATTACATACAGAGTTACACCCCCTGTAAATAGGAGATAAAATTAGCTATGTTTTTTGTTCATGTGCTTTTTTGATAAAATGAAATGAATTCATCGATTTTCTTCACAAAAATGGATAAATATTATCGAATGCATCACAATGGTAGACAGTAGTATCGAAGGTTGGTACAAAATGACAAGTTTACAGAAGTTATGTCCGAGATTTGAGTAAAGAATTTTCGTCCGGCGCAAGATTCAGCGACGGCCAAATTTACCGCTTCCAATGCATCCAAGTGTAATATTTAATATATGTCGGCACAAAAAGCAACGAGATTTTATTAAGAGGCCACTCCCGTTAAGTTATGTCCGAGATTTGAGTAAAGAATTTTCGTTCGGCGCAAGATTCAGCGACGGCCAAATTTACCGCTTCCAATGCATCCAAGAGTAATATTTAATTTATGTCGGCACAAAAAGCAACGAGATTTTATTAAGAGGCCACTCCCGTTAAGCGGTCAGTTGTGAAAATTCCCTTGGGTGGCTGCTTAATACAGATTCTACTGTATATTAAACCCCATTATATTTCATTGATCTCTTAAAAAGGCTTTATGAAAACTAAAGGCACCAAAATGGGTTGAAATACTGCATTGTTCTGTGGTGTGGGACTATTGTATTGTTCTGTGGTATGGGACTATTGCATTGTTCTGTGGTATGGGACTACTGCATTGTTCTGTGGTATGGAACTACTGCATTGCTCTATGGTATGGAACTACTGCATTTGTTCTGTGGTATAAGACTACTGCATTGTTCTGTGGTATGAGACTACTGCATTTGGTATCTTTAATTAAGGCTAGTTGACATGTCAATTATAATATGCCCGATCATATTTATTATTTCACTAAATCTAAACATCTTAATTTCCCAGTATTGTTATTATTATGTTTTTTGATATTGAACAGTGATACAGGGTCATGATAAGAAAGGTATATTTTCTGCTAAAACTAGAATAGAAGTTATGGTTGACTCGGCACGACATAAACAACCCTTTACACACTTCCTGTCTATACCTATTGTATCGGAGGCTGTCATTGGTGGATTTGAAGATTTTAAAACTGATGTGTTACGAGAATGTGATGGGGTGAGTTGCATGTTTGTAAATAAAGAGGGAGAAAAGTGAGCGGGTTCAACATCTAAATGCCGCAAACTAGGTCATTTCGAGACCAACAATCATCCCTACTCGCTTGTCACAAACAAGCGTAGAATCAAAACCACTCCTCTTGATTCAATGACATATCTTATTAACTAAAGTGTCTGCATTAAAACATTTGGCCACCCCCTTAAAAAAACAGGTAGATAAATGCATCTAGATCAGCCCTGTCCACAAACAGAAACAAACAAGACCAACGATTAGAATCTATCGGGGGATGTGATTTAACTGAACAGTCATAATTTGATGTACAAAGTTAAAGCGAGATCAAGCCTTCTATTAAAGATACATGATGTACACAGGATTATCAATCAAAAATTATTTACATTTATTTTCTCTACGAGAGTGATAATAAAATGTTAATTTGAATAAATTTCAGGCCAGAGGATTGGATGCTACCATATTTCAAAATCCCAAGAAACTCCATTTAACAATTGGAACATTAGTTTTACTGAGTGACCGTGAAATTCATCGAGCGACATCGTTATTGCAACAATGTTTAGAAGATCTTGTTGAGTAAGTTAGAATAGAATTAAATGAAAAATCACAGAGGGCTAATTTTTGGGGCTGAAAGTTTTTTGGGTCAGTTTCTGATCAAACTAATCAAATTGAGGATATCAAAACTTCATTGAATCTTCTACAGCAGATTTAGTTCTGTTAAAATTTGATTGATGTAAAATCGATTTATCGGTATAAGATTTGAATTTTCGGTGCCAAGGAAGACATCTTTGTTCTGTTATATGTTCTTGTTGAGGTCATTTTGGGACTAACATGTTATAATTTTATTTCAATAATTTGCTTGCGTGTAGGTGTCTTTAGCAGTTGGTCAGACAACCCAACTCCTTGTCACTTAAAAATTACTGATGGAAGCCAGACTTTTTGACTCAATGACAGACCCTGATGGTCTAAAGTAAGATTAGGAGTTGACTAATGAAACTTTAACACTGCGGTCTTTTAATTAAACGTTTTTACAATTGGGTTTTTTTTTTTTCAGACCAATATTAAAGGACAAGAAATTACGACTGGATGTTCAAGGGTTGGAATATATGAACGATGACCCGAATGCTGTTGATGTTCTTTACGCTAAATTACTGGGTGATCAAGACTTAGATAGGTAGGTTTCTCAGAATGGTTGGTACATATTCAGTTAGCACGTCAATCTAAAACACAGATCCTATTTCATTTCATTTTTTATAGTTCATAATTTCGTTTAACTTGTCTTTACTACACTAGGATCTGAAAGAATTATTATCATTTACGTGTTCTCGATGATGTAAGGGATTGGTCAATGAAACAATCTATTACGACAAGTTCTTGGCCTTTTGACGCACATTGATTATGTCTGTAGTGTAGGCCATCGAAAGTATAGAAACGAACGAAATATAGATCTGTATTTTATTCACTGATTATTAGAAAGTTTTATGTATTTTTGGGGCAGCTGAGAAAAGCTTTTCTTAACTTAGAAAAGCCAAACAATGCATCAGTAGGAATCCAATATTTATTTTGATGATTCTCAACGAATTGGAACATTTAGCCAACAATGGTTTGATACTAAAAATAGAAGACAGAAAATCGTGTTAAATCAGCATAACTACACGATAACCAAGTTTGTGTGTGTAAAGGGTGCTACCTGGACCGAATTCTCCTCCTTAGCATTGTGGTGGATGTAAATATAATAAATACAGCCTTATAGTTCAATCTGTATTGTAAATGATACTCATTGTGGTAAATAAATACAGCCTTACTCACCATCACAGGTTCGATTGACAACTGGTCATTCTAGGGCCTTAATATGAGTGACCTAGAAAGACCAAGGCTCAGAGAGTAGGATACTACCTCGCTAGTCTGGAGGTCTCGGGAAGAGGGGGGGGGGCAGGTATTCCTTGTGTTGACCCTTGTCAGTGGTACAGGAGGGAGGGCCCGACAAGAAACAGCATCTAGTCGCAGGGATGCGAGGAAAAAACGAGGTCTCATTTAAAGATTGGCATGCATTTAAAAGATCCCTTGACAGTTTGAAGTCGATATAAGAGTAGGCCGTAGTGCTGCTGTCTGTTCAAAATTTCCCCTCATACCACACTGTATGGCGTATACCCATCTTTATTTGCCCTGTCGCAGCTGGACGGTAAAACGTTAAACCCCATTTCATTTCATCCTATTTTTTTCACAGACTACAGAGTTTAGTTGATAGAATGGTGGACAAGTTTACGTCTGCTAATCTGATGCAGAGGGAATACGAACGAGTGAAACTTCATATTACTGTGATGAACACCCTGATGAGGAAAGATCCGACTGGTGTTTCCGTGACACGCAGTCGACAAGATGGTAAACCAGCTAAAGACCGGGAATCGTTCGATGCTGCAAGTATTATGAGGGTACGTAACCATGGTTTTTGTTTCACACGGGGTTGAACATTGATCTGATTCGCTGGGTTGGATGGCTGAATGTTGAACAGATGCATGTTAGGGTTAGGGTCTGTTTTGAATTCCCGGTTGTACGTGACAAGGAGTAGGGTCGCCTGTCCAACCTTGTGGGTTTTCTCCGGGTCCTCCTGTTTCCTCCCACTGCTAAAGACCCCTACATGCAAGCGAATTATTGAAATAAAATTAAACCATATGTTAGTCCGGAAATGACCTAGTTTGTGTCCAGTGGAGGTTAAACCCCATTTCTCTCTCTCTCTCTCTCTTCTCTCTCTCTCTCTCTCCTCTCTCTCTCTCTCTCTCTCTCTCTGTCATGTATTCAAGGGTCAAGGTTTCAATCCCAAGCTTACAGGTTTTCTCTGAATTCTCCAGTTACCTCCAATTGTTAACGACCCCTACTTGGAAGTGATTTATTTAAATAAAATTGTAAAATATGTTTGTGTCGAGTGGATGTTCAACCCCATTTCTTCTCTGTGAGAATTAGTAGAATAAGTAGCCATTTTTATACACCCACATTGAAATGTGGACAGAATATATTGCCATTGCCCCCCTCCGTCCGTAAGTCGATCCGTCGATCCATCCATCGTCCACAATTTCTTATGAACGCTCTAACGCCAAAAGTTATCATCCAATTGTTTTAAAATTGATACATGTTGTTTACTTTAGTGAGATGACGAAGCCTATTTAAATTTCAATAATTTCCATTTATTTTTAGAGTTATGGCCCTTGTTTCACATTGTTGAGCATTGTGAACGCTCTAATGCCAAAAGTTATCATCTGATCTTTCTGAAATTTATATGCATTAAGTAAATTAGTGAAAAGAAGAAGCCTATTGAATTTCAGCTATTTCCGTTTACTACATCTAGACTTATGGCCCTTGTTTCACTTTATTGAACCTTGTGAACACTGTTAACGCCAAAAGTTATCACCCAATCTTTGTGAAATTTATATGCATGATTTAAATTAGTGAAACAAAGAAGCTTATTGAATTTCATCAATTTTCGTTTATTACATCTAAAGTTATGGCCCTTGTTTCACTTGATTGAACGTTACCACCTGATCTTTTTGAAATTTATATGCATGATTTAAATTAGTGAAACAAAGTCTATTGAATTTCAGCAATTTCCGTCAATTACTTCTAGAGTTATGGCCCTTGTTTCACTTTGTTGTACCATGGGAACGCTCTAATGCTCTGCCGATAAGTATGAAATTTTCATTTGTCATTTAAATTAAGAGAAGAATCCTATTGAATTTCAGCAATTTCCGTTTATTACTTCTAGAGTTAAAGCCCTTGTTCCACTTTGTTGCACTTTGTGAACGCTCTAACTTCTACAGTTAACTGCCGATCTGTAGGACATTTTTATGTGCCATTTAAATTAGTCAAAAAGAATCCTATTGAATTTCAGCAATTTCCGTCAATTATTTCTACAGTTATGGCCCTTGTTTCACTTTGTTGCACCATGGGAACACTCTAATGCTCTGCTGATCTGTATGAAATTTACATGTCATTTAAATTAGTCAAGAGAAGAATCCTATTGAATTTCAGCAATTTCCTTTTATTACGTCTAGAGTTATCATCCGATATGTATGAAATTTATATGCATCATTTAAATTTGTGAAACAGAGGTCTATTGAATTTCAGCAATTTCCGTCAATAATTTCTAGAGTTATGGCGATTTTGAACCTTGTGAACGTTTGAATGACAAAAGTGATCATGTGATCTGTATGAAATTTATATGCACTATGTAAATTAGTAAAACGAAAAAGCCTGTCAAATTTCAACAATTTCTGTTGATTACTTCCAGAGTTGAAACCCTTGTTTCAGTTTGTAGAACCTTGTAAACCCTCAAATGACAAAATTTATAATCTGATTTGTATGGAATTGTCTTGTAAAGGCCCCCAATTACCTACAAAGGAATAAATATGTGACAACCCTTGTCAACCGCTCGGACGATTTAGCTGCTGTGGGCGTATGTCTTGTTGCCTGGCAACCTATCTTTTTCTGCTCCATTCATGTATTTAAGAATTTATTATCATATATATATATACATATATATGTATTCAGTGATATTAAATGTGCGACCTACATGCCGGCGCTGATCTACCAAACTGATCCCTCCCTTCCCGATCAACTCTTATTTACACCTTTCCCCGGAGTACTTGGAGAAAACCCACGAGGTTGAGAATGTGCCCCTGTCCCCAAGCCCGAGGTGACGGGGCAGCTGGAGCTTGAAGTGCCACATCTTTCCCCTACGCTTACTGTTTATTTATAGTCAGAGACAATGGACTCGTCACTGGCACCACCCTGGTTCAAATCCTGGCATAAACTGAAATAAACCAGCAGCTTTAGAGGTGATTATTAGTCCTGTTCCATATTGGTCCTAAATGTGTCTTGTTATAACTATGGTCCAGGTATGTCCGAACAATCGGTGAATCTAAATCGGCTTATAATTATATCTTTCAGAAATTTGGTGATTATAAATTTGGAACCCATCACATTGATTCTGTTCATATTTCAAGCCGTTCTGCTGTCGGTGCTAGCGGCTATTATCAATCGGTGGCCTTTATACAGTTACCATGACAACAAACACCAGGGAACGAATACAACTATAGCAACAAGGGAAGATCTTTGTGACGAAGGTTTGACAAGAATCGGGATATAATTATAACATCAAGGGATTCCAACAGTGAAAGTGAAGAATATGAGGTATCAATATGGATGTGCGATAGAATATTATTTATATTTATATATTCTGGATGTGCGATAGAATATTATTTATATTTTTATATTCTGGATGTGCGATAGAATATTATTTATATTTATATATTCTGGATGTGTGATAGAATATTATTTATATTTATATAAAGGTTGTTTTGGATTTAATAATAAGCCGATCTTAGGTTAATACAAATTAATTAGTTATTCTGCGTGTTCTGGTCCCAGATCACTACTCGTCTAGTGTTCTTATTGGGAGCGACAAGAAATACCCTTGCTTAGTCCGGTCAAGAACATTTAACATGGAACTTTGCATGCTTGTTCCTTGGGACAATTGCACATTCATTCCCCTGATTGACGACTATAATTTTTTAAGATTCCAAGATGGCTGCGATTGCAACATGTTCGGTTTCTGGTCCACATTGTACACTTATTCTTGTTTGATTCAAAATTTCAACGTTTCCAAAACTAGAGTTGCCTTATATTACATATTATTATTTTTGTAATGTATAAATTAAGTGAAAATTGAGCTCTGAACAAAAGAAATCAAATTATTTCTATCTTTTGGTAATATTTGAAAAGTCCAGGGGAAGAACGAACAAGTCACATTTTTGTCTTTTTGCATAAAAGGCAAAACAGACCTTTGGACCAGAATGCTTGACGCGAACAGAACAAGTGGGTTTAATTACAACTTCATAATGATGTTTAATACGAACCATAATTACCAGTACAACAAATGACTTCTACTTTTCAACCAAATTGAGGTCAAATAAAGGGTACGATGGAAGTATTTGTCCAGGAGGTCATTTCAGAAAGGCCTCCGTTCGATGTGATTGTTTTTACCTGAAATTAATTGTTCAACAGAAAGCTAATACAATTTGCTACCAGATGGCGCCATTAACTGGGGTTCTTTGAAAAAGTGACTTAGATCGTTCTTCCCCAGGTTCTTCATTTATTTCATGGGTCTAGGACTGCTGCTGATGGGTCATGTTTCAGCCATTTTTATTAGTTTAGTTTTGTTTTTGTTTGTCCAATTAGCAGCTGTCTTGACTTATTTATGCATCAGACAAGGAAATGAAAAGTTTTTATTTTGAATAATATTAAATTGATGTTTTAAGATTCTGTTTGAATGGTGTATTATAATGATAATATGATAGATATTTTGAAGCTTGACACAAGACAGGGGGAGGTAATTAATATGGGTAACTCATCCATTGCGTGAGAGCCACAGTGGTTCACAGAGTAGTACGTTGGCTCACTATGTAACTGGCTCCTTGTAAGTCAAGAAAGTTTCTCTGGATTTTTCTGCGTGTATTTCCCTCAACATAGACCCATTTTGCATGTATTTCCCTTGACACAGACCCTTTTCGTGTGTATATCCCTCGAAATAGACAGAGCCCTCCGAGGAAAAGTGACTTGTCGTTTAGGATGCAATGAACGTAAAACAACCCTTGATAGTAGTTCGACAAAGAGTGCTGCTGTCCAGGCAAAATTCCCTCACATCTCACTGCATACCCGTTTTCATTGGCCCTGTTTACAGAAAAGTAAGAAGTTCAACTCGATGTCATTTTATCCATCATTTCATTTACTGCAAGATTTCCTATTCAAAATGAACTCTTCAACTTATTTATCTGTAGACCTTTCAAATATGACGACTAATTGATCGTAGATGAAGATATGAGTCCAGGAAGCGTGACTATCAAACAATATATGTTAAACTGCCTTTCCACTGCGCTCGGGACGAGGGAGGAATTACAGTGAGCTAACCCCGAGTTCTCTTCACCCTAGTAAGATAGACGAATATCCGTTTGAATGACCTTTATTCCAATGAAAACTCTCTGTGAAAGCTAGCTGAGTGACGAGTATGACTGTCAAACAAACCAACGTACATGTTCAAGGGTAAAAAGACTGTAAATTGCACAGGATAAACAAAATAAGTTTCCGCTGAAGTAGCGGCCATGCTTGCCGAGGTTAAACAAAGGGAGATAATTCTAATGTTATGATTTACTTAATACCACAACAAAATAGTTCCAGCACACTCCCCGTCTGATATCCTGTACTGGATATCACTTAAATGAATAAAATTAAAACACTTTATGAAATAAAACACTTAAAAATAAAATGTCCAATCTTTGGGAAGAGTCACTTTAAATTATCAAAATGTTAATTGTCCGTTTCCGAATCAAGTAATACCAATTCAGTAACTGGTCTGGTATAAACAGTTGGTTCACCATCTTTTATGATCCGTAGAGTAACTTTCCTGACGTTGTTGTCATCTCCAGGGAAAATCTGTTCCACCATACCAATAGGCCAATCATTGCGATGAAGTTGGTTATCTTTAAGTAGAACAACGTCTCCTGGTTTGAGGTTTGGTTGTGTACTCTGCCATTTTCGTCTAGGTTGTAGAGTGTGAAGGAATTCACGTCTCCATCTGTTCCAGAATGTATCAGCCATAGATTGAACAGCTCTCCATTGTGATTTATATAAGTCCTTTATATTAAATTGTCCTAAAGGTTGTGTGATGTGATCAACCTTTTGAGTGAGGAGAGTTTGTGGTGAGAGAATGGCTGGTGACTGTGTGTCTGTTGAAACCGGAACTATAGGTCGAGCGTTGACTATAGCTGTAACTTCTGCCATGAAAGTTACCAATACTTCATGTGTGAGATATTTTGAAGATACCTCAGCTAACATAGAGTCTAGGATGCGTCTGGTTATACCGACCATACGTTCCCAAACGCCTCCCATGTGTGATGAATGAGGTGGATTAAAGATCCATTTAGCCTTCCTATTATTCAAAAAGTTAATAACAGGACCGTTTTCGTCCATAATGACTTCCATGTTGAGTTCATTAGTTGTACCAATAAAGTTGGTTCCTCTGTCGGATCTGAACTCGGATACGTTGCCTCGAATTGCGATGAATCTTCTGAGAGCGTTAATAAATCCTGAAGTCCCCATGTCTTCAATGACTTCCAGATGAATAGCTCTCGTGGTAAGACAGGTGAAGATGATCGCCCATCGTTTACTGTTTGCCTGGTGACCCCTAGTACGCCTTGAGACAACTGACCAAGGACCAAACGTGTCAACACCAACGTACGTGAAGGGTGGTGCTGGCTTTAGGCGGTTTCCAGGTAGATCTGACATCTTCTGGAACTCTTGTTTTCCTCGTAGTTTTCGACATTTAACACACTTGAAGATGATAGAGGAGATAAGACGTTTACCTCCAACTATCCAAAAACCTGCCGCTCTAACTGCTCCTTCGGTGAAATGTCTGCCTTGGTGTTGTACCAGTTCGTGATGATGCCTGATGATTAGAGTTGATATGTGAGCAGATGCCGGTAAAATAATTGGTGATTTCTCTTGAAAGGGTAACTCTGCTTTTGACAGCCTTCCACCAACGCGCAGCAAGCCATATTCGTCGATGACTGGATCTAGTGTGATTATGGTGCTGTCCTTTGGTAACGGTTTGTCAGCTTTTATTTTGATCAGTTCTTTTCCATAAGTTTCGAGTTGAACTTGTTTGATTATGAACCGTTCCGAATTAAGCTGGGCTTCAGTATTTTTTGATTCATTACAAACATGCCATCCTTTACAGTTTCCTGAACTGTGGTACATTTGAGCAATGTGAATTAATCTACTGATTGTCCAAGTAAGTGTTTTCCATGATGAGAATCGCTCAAACCGATGAATACCCAGCTTGCCTTTGTTGATAGTAGTGAGTAACGTTGTTACAATTGGTCGTACCTCAGAATCCTCTTCTGGATTCCGTAGTTCGTAGAAGTCATCTTCTTCGAATTGCTGTTTCTGGTAAAGGTGAGTAGGACCTTTAAGCCATACCGAATGTTCCAGATCAGATGCCGGAACGGACCTGGTTCCGAGATCTGCAGGATTTTTATCCGTAGGGATAAACTGCCATTGTAGAGGAATGGTTGACTTCCTAATGCGGTCTATTCTATTAGTGACATAGAGATAGAACCTACGTGTTCTGTTGTAGATATATCCTAACACAACCTTGCTGTCGGTGTGAAACGTGATGACATCCGGAGTAATATCAAGATGTTCTTGGATAATGTCGTGGATTTCGACTGCTAAGACAGCAGCACAGAGTTCGAGCCTGGGGATAGTATGACCAGAAGTTGGTGCTAGCTTCGCCTTTCCAAGGATGAAGCCAACATGATGATTTCCGTCAGTGTATGTAGTTCTCATGTAAGCTACTGCTGCTACGGCCTTTTCGGAAGCATCTGAATAGATATGCAGTTCCTTACGAGCAATGCCATAAGAAGTATCAGAATACATTCTAGGTATACGTAGATTATCAAGATGCTGTAATGAACATCTCCATTTATCCCATTCCGTGAGTTGTTTGGTAGGCAGAGGTTCATCCCAGTCTGTAGTTGACGACATAAGATTCCGCAATAGAATTTTGCCTTGGATGACGACTGGAGCGACAAATCCAAACGGGTCAAACAGACTGTTTATGGTAGACAATATACCTCTCCGTGTAAAAGGTTTGATTTCCTGTGATACTTGAAAGGTGAATGTGTCAGACGTTAAGTTCCAAGCTAAGCCTAAACTCCTTTGAATAGGTAGCGAGTCCGTAGAGAAATTGAGTTCTTTCAAGTCCTTTGCCAGGTCTTCGGTAGCGAATGCTTCCATGACTTCTGGGCTGTTCGAAGCTATCTTATGAAGATGAAGATTGCCTCCAACGAGAAGGGCTTTTTGAGTTCTTTTCATAAGATCAATGGCCTGTTCTGATGTGGGAAGTGAGGCCAAACCATCATCGACGTAGAAGTTCCTATCTACGAAGTTTTTGACGTCGATGCCAAATGTTTCCTGTCCTATGAGTGCAGACCGTCTCAGTCCATACGTAGCCACTGCTGGAGAAGGACTGTTTCCGAAGACGTGTACTCTCATCCTGTATTCGATAATTTCATTTTCGAATATGTTATCTTTGTACCAAAGAAATCTCAGGAAGTTTCTGTGGTTTTCCTGTACCAAAAAGCAATGAAACATCTGCTGGATGTCCGCTGTGATGCCGACTTCATGTTTGCGAAAGCGTAGAAGTACCCCAAGTAAGCTGTTGGTGAGGTCAGGACCTGTCAACATTACATTGTTAAGGGAGATATTTTCATGCTGAGCTGAAGAATCGAACACTGCTCGGATTTGGTCTTTCTTCTTAGGATGGTAGACTCCAAAAATGGGTAAGTACCAACACTCATCATCGTCTCTAAGAGGAGGTGCCAATTCGGCATGATTGTTATCGAATACCCTTTTCATAAATGTGAAGAAGTGGGCTCTTTTAGTTGAGTCCTTTCTTAAACTATAATCTAACGACTTGGCTCTGTTGGCTGCCTGAGTTCGATTATTTGGTAGACGGGGTCTATTTTCCTTAAAGGGTAACGGAGCAACCCAATTACCACTTGAATCACGCTGGAATTCTCGATCCATGATAACGAGAAATTCGCGATCTTCTACCGATGGTCCTAGTTTTTCGTCGTTGCGGGAGAGTCTAAATACGGCTTCCCCAATTCCATCGTTGAATGAATCCTGTGATGTGAAGACATCGTACCTTGTTGGATGTAGATCCTTTAATTCCAAATTATTCGGACAGGGCTCGAATAATGTATTTCGACCGTTTGGTAAAGTGTGAGTTTTGTTCACATTGATTACTTCCGGTTTATGTATGTTGCCTAGGCAAGCCTCTCCAATAATTACCCATCCTAATGGGAGTTGTTGAGCGTAAGGTGAATTACGCGGTCCTATCCGTTGATCTAAGACGTGATGAGCCTCAATCAAATCTCTGCCAATTAACAGCTGTATATTAACCAAATCATCCACTGGTGGTATGAATTCAGCTATGTCCTGTAGGTGAGAGTGATGAAGAGCTACTTCCGGAGAAGGTATTTCATCTCTAATTGCCGGTATGTGGTCGCACTCAATTAACTGCGGAAGTTCAAATTTCGCGCTTCCATCCAAAGATTCAATAGTTATTCCTGTTGCCTTTCTGCCAGACGTAGGAAACGTGCCTGCACACGATGATAGTGTGTAAGAGAATGGTTCTGCCTGAACTTCGAGTGAGTCGAAGATGCCTTTGTTTCCGAGTGACCTATTACTTTGATCAT